ATATATATAGTTTTAGTTTTTGATGGATCTTTATTTTATTCATTTATTTGTATGCAGTGCTGAGAATGGAACCCAGTGCCTCACTCATGCAAGGCAGGCACTCTACCACTGAGCCACAACCCCAGCCCCCAAATAAACTTTTGAGTACCAATCCATCAACAGCTTGTAACAGGGGTCCACTTCACCTTTTGAATATAGTTCTGAGGCTTATTTTTCAAAGGGACATTTTTTCCCTTTTTCTTTTCTCCCCCTCACTCTCCCTAACCTGGAGGCCACATTACCCTGAGTTATCTGTGTTCCACAGGAAGGAGATGTCTGTAAGAGGATCTCGGAAGTGACAAATAACAAGTGAATCCTAACACTCCATCAAAGCCCCTGGACTCCCTGTCAGGGCACATTTGGAATGTAGCCCTTAAGGAGCTCCTTTAAAATCCCCCTGTTCTTTCTGATGGGCAGAATCACAGCCTCAGGGACAGGAGTGCCCTGTGTTTCTCCTTTGTCAGAAAAGCAATAAAACAACTTTTTCCTTTTTTTCTCAAAACTGTGTCCTCATTATTAATAGGCATTCATTGGCACTGGGGACAAGGACCAAGCTTTTGGTTACAAGCTGAGTTCCTTCTGGGCCTGAGARTTCAAGCTCAGCTCCTTCCCCTCACCACCTCCTGCACATCTTGCCCCACCTCCATCCCTCTCTCCTCTCTGTCCTCCTGGCCTGCCTTGTTGTTCTACTCCCCATTCCTCTTCTTGCTCTTCCTGCCCACATACCCTCTATCCCTCCCACATACACACCATACAGGCCAACACAGGAAGGGGTTGCCCTCATGTGAGATGAAGATGAAGGGATATTTTGTATCAGAAGAAAAATCAAAAACAATCACATTGTTTCTGGTCAAGCTCAGTTTATGAGGAGACCAAAGAAGATGGCTGCACCTTAAAGCTGAATTTCAACCACAGCTATTCCATTTCCTGTTCCTCATGGCTAGAATCTGGCCCTCATCTTGAGGGACTTGAATACCCTAGGCCCTTTTCTAGCACCACCTCATGGCCTTCATTGGGCACATAGAGATCCCCATGGTGCTAGGGGCTACAAGCAGCAGGAAATCCTGACCAAAGAAAATCATCCAACTGCCCCATTTAGAATGAGCCAAGGGTACTGAGCCAAAGTCAGCAGGCTCCCAGGTATACAGAATCTGAATCTGCCCCCCCCCCCCCCCCCCCGCTTCCTTGTGTCCTCTTAGCCTCAGATGAGATTTCTGCACCCAAAGCCAGCCTTTGAGAAAATAAGGGCCATATCTAAAATAATCTCAACACTTGTAAAATCCTAAGGTCATCAATGGAGCATTTCCAGAGCTCAAGGTAGTGTCTTAATTTTACTAATTTGATTTAGTGTTTTATTTTAATTCCAACATTAGTYAGCACATGAATTAAGAGTATGTGGCAGGCAGAATAATGGCCTCCCCAGGAGATCCTCTTCCTAATCCTTGGAACCTGTGAACAGGCTTCATTCATTATCTAGCAAGGGACTTGCAGATGGACTTATGTTAAGGATTCTGAGATGGGGAGACCATGCTGAATGGCACAGGGTAATCCATAACATCCAAATAATTCCATGGGTCTTTAACATGGAAGAAGAGGCAGAGAAAGAGGTCAGGATGATGGATCAAGCACTCTGCCTGCTGTTGCTGGTTGTGAAGGTGGAGGAAACAGCTACCAGCCAAGGATTGACCTATCAATTTTAGGCCTGTTGGGACCCTTGGTGGACTCCTAACCTACAGAACTCTAAGAAAATGAGTTTGGGGTGTTCTCACACTRTGTTTATGGGAATTGGTTACAGCAATAACAGAAAATCAACACAAGTACCTCTCTAATTCACTTCACCAGTGACGAGATCTGAAGGACGTGATGAACTCTGCACATTCTGAAGGCCTAGGTTGACAGGTCAAGAGATACTATTACATATTTTAAGTGGTACCTGTTCTGTTTTCCCTTCCAGCCCCCTTTATAGGACTTAAATTCTATTTCCCCTCACAGGATTTCATTTTTAACTATTTCTAGGAAATAATTATAGAGTGATAGCTTAATTTTAATTCTAGAAGGCAAAAGAATACAAGAATTTTTCTGAAGGAATCTCTTAAGATTTTTATTTCAACATTTATGGAAGTATAAGAGGACAGATAAATGAGGATGGTGAGTTAATCTGTCTGCAGCCCCACCTGGCCTGAGGGGACCCGATATGTCACATTCCTCAGCAAACTGACTCAGGGGTAAGAAGGTCTGGCAGTCAGTGTAGGTAATAAATGATGGGGGTTGAGAAAATAAGGGCTGGTTATCAAAGAAAAGACAGATGGGTTGCTAACAGCTAACCTGGGGATCACACTTCCCAGCACAATGAGCTGCTATTGATTATCCCAAGTGTTCCAGCTCCTTCTTACCCTTAGGCATATGCACAAAGAAGAAAAAGGTGGTGGGGGGTTCTGGGGTCTATAAAACAGCAAGACACACCCACTCCTACTGACACCCAGCTCTTTGCCCACTTCTGAAGCCAGAACTAGAGAGACAGTATAAACAGGTCAATCAAGTCAGGTGGTGTGGAAAGCCATTCTCACACGTGACTGGGCAACTCCTGGTTTGGGTCTGAGGCGCTCTGGCTAATCTGTGTCGGAGCTTTCCTGGCCCTCTCCTGATGAGAGAACCCGTCCGTGGGGGGGGTGTGACTGACCACTGACCCCAGGGGCCAATCACTGACCCTGACCTTGGAGTGCAGCCCCCCTCAACCTTCATTGGATGGAATTCTCCCATGAATTTCTTGTTCCCCAATAAAAGGCTACTCCCTGGCGTGCTCAAGCTCTCTCTCTCCTGCTAGCCCTGAGTAAGCCTTGCTGCCCTACCGGTGGTTCGAGGTGGGAGCCAGAGAGGGGAGCCGTCTCGGACCTGGTCATAGAAAAAGGTAACTGAGTCTGTGTGTTTTATTTCGATCTCTGCTAGCTAACTTTTATGCCAAGAACCTCATTGATGAAACCAGTGCGCTGACCGCATGGTGGAAGGTGGGTTTAAGGAGGCCAATTTTGAGTGAGTCTGGCTAGTTGGAGAATGTCCCCTGAGTTAATTCCTTCAGAGCCCTTCCTCCACCCAAGAACCGCCCCTGCTCCAACCTGTTGCTAAGATAACCAGTCCCAGGAATAGCTCCCTACAGGGAGCTATAAGGTTGTTAATTAATGTAGGCTGCACCATCCTGCCCTTCCCACTTCAGCCCACCTGTTTCCCACCTTTTGGCCATCCCACTAAGCATTTCCTAGGTCTAGTCACTGCCTAGGCCTAGTCCCATACCACAGGAAGGAGAAAGATAAGGGGAAGAGGCAGGAGAACAAAGGAAGCCTAGGACATATAAAAAGGGCAGAACACCTCACTTCTAGGGATACCAGGACACCAGCTCTGGCCCCCTCCTCCCTCCTAGGAGAAGTCTATGTTATCCCCTTTTAAATAAACCCTGCCCATCTGTCTCTATCTCACCACACTGATCCATTTATGATTTTTCTTTGATTATTTCATATGAAACTATTTACATTTGAATTTAAGTCAAACACTATTTTTAGTTGATGATCAGTGTAAAAACTGAAACTTAATCATCCCATGAACTTAATCTAATATTAACTCTGAATGTCTAGAACAACTAAAAACTTTTTGAGTTTTGCTCTTAGAAGTACAGTAGATGGGGTAGAGAGAGAAGATGGGAGGGGAGGGGAGGGGGGATAGTAGAGGATAGGAAAGACAACAGAATACAACAGACAATAGTATGGCAGTATGTAAAAACATGGATGTGTAACCGATGTGATTCTTCAATCTATATACGGGGAAAAATGGGAGTTCATAACCCACTTGAATCAAATGTATGAAATATGATATGTCAAGAGCTATGTAAGGTTTTGAAAAACTAATAATAAATAAATAAATAAATAAATAAAAATAAATAAATAAATAAACCCTGCTTTATATGCATGCCTTGGGATGCTTCAAACTTCAACAGGTGAGGAAGCAGGACTAGTCACTGATAGATAACCAGCGGTACCAATTCTCTTCAGAGAAGTCTGCTGTCCCTGTCTCTGTCTTATATAAAATATGCTTCCTACACTTGCCTGGGTGTTTCTCAGGGTGTTTAATCCTAAACACCAGGGGAACAAAGACCCATTCCTGATCTCCAAGACTGGTATCAGAATGACATAATTTTCAACTATGGTTCTTAAATAAATTTATTTAATGTTTTGAGTCAATGATATAAAACAATGTGTGTTAAACTGTGGTCAGTAGCCCACCTGCATCAGAATCACCTGGGATGCTTATATTTAAATGCAACCCTAGGGTCCCACACCCACAAAAGTTCTTGGCATTTCATCCCAGGAAATTGCTCCCACAATCTTCACAACTGATTTGTGAAACAGACTCCATTTGAAATGAACAGCTCCAAAGCCTTTTAACTTCTGACTTTCCTTAAGCTGAAAATGGAGTCTGAGGGACTTCCCTGGACCTGAGGGCACTGCCCAGAGGAACGGAGTCTGAGACATGTTTCTGATTAACACAGCCTAGCTAAATATACACATGGATATTTCCTTCCTTTCGTCCTACTGCACCCCATAGCTCTTATAAAAGCTTTCCATGCTCCTGAGTCACAAACGATGGAGAGTTGAGAAAGAAAATGTTCTCTATCTTGCTCAAATCCATCATTGCAAGAAACCTTTATTTCCCTTGCCATCCTAACTCCTGAGTTTTAATGGAACACAACAAACAGCAAAATATGTCCTTCCCTGTGAAAACTGTAAGGCAAATCAAGTTTAAGGATCACTCTATCATGTATATTGGAAATTTTTGTAAAATAGAGGAAAAATGAATTTTTAAACTTAGACTTTATGGATTAGACTATTATTTTTTTCATGACAGTTTGTCTTTCCTATTCTGATACACTTGTTCTGGGAAATGGTGTAGAAATGCAAAACAAAACAAAGAAAAACTATTTCCTTATACACATATTTCTTTAATAGCCACCAAAAAAAGATTGTTGTTTCCTYTCATCCTCCCCATCCATGAGTTATGTTGGCCTTCAACATATTGCTACAGCAACATAAATAAATCTCTATCATACATTTATACACACATACCCACATCCTAGGAGCACTCTGAAGACACAGACTAGGCTTCAGTACAACTAGGGCCTTGCCCAGACCACTTAAAAACAAGCAGAGGGCTGCTATATGCAAGACTTTCCATAGGCTTGGTATGGCCATCAGTTCCCAATTCGCCTGAGGGAAGTTAGGATGACAAAGGGATAACATACCTAATGGGGGTAGGGACAGTATAGTTTGGAGAACATGTAAGAAATGAAGAAGATCATGCTAGGCTAAGCATGACAGGGCATCTAACAAGTCACCAATTCCCCACACAGAATCAAAGCTCTCAGAACTGGTGGTACAGCATGAAGCCCAGCCTGACTTGGCCCAGAGGAGCTACCTGGTTAGGTGTGGATCTGTGAGCAGTGCTCACTGACACTGTCCAGAAGGGCACTGCTGCTCAGTAGTGTGCTTCTATAACTGTGGAGGAGCTTCACCATGGGGATCACATGTCCCATGTGTAGAAGGCAACTATTTCCTTCGCGTTGACCATCTGAGGACAGCTGTTGAGATGAGAACCGTGCTCTGGCAGGTGCTATGCCACTGAGGCTGTTCAGAAGCAGTGTCACAAGTGCTACTATGCAATCTCACACGCGCTTTGCTTCATGCTGGGCCCAGGGGGATTTGGCTACTGTTATTCCATCACTGCCAGGAAGTCATTCTACCTTTCTGCCTACCCCACAAGGACACATCTCTGACTGCATCTTCAGACCTCCAGCAGATTTAGAGGACTCAAGCCCAGATTCTCCTCAGCAGACAGGTAGTTGTTCAAAAGAGGGGCAGCCCCATTCTTCCTGATGCTTTAAGGACCTGTGGTGGCTTTGCTTCTTGCGTGGCTCCTGGAAGGCAAGGGTCACAAGGCTGGAGTGCACAGCAGGGCCCTTAGAGATTTCACCTGCAAGCAAACATAAAACAACCCTGTTCAGATGGAACTGTCAGACCCTGCTGACGGCACCCAGAGGCTGGAATGAGGGCAAAGCATGCAGGAAGCCAGAACATGGCAGGAGGGGATTAAGAGGATGAGCTTCCAGGTCCCAGCTTAAAGGAAAAGCCTCCCTATGCACCCAAATTCCTGCTGCCCCAGCCACTGCCCCACTATACTCTATGTGGTCAGATCCTACCATTTCCTCTGGATGAGCCAGTTCATGCTACAAGTTATGTGGTCTGAAGAAAAACAAAAAAGTGGGGAGGTTTGCCATCTTCTAGGAAAAGTAGTGCCAAGCATGAAACATGCACATGTAGAAAAAGCCCGTGGTAGGAAGGAGAAAACATGTTGGGGGGAGTTCCCCTGTTAAGTGTGTATCCCAGTTTTCTTGAGGAGAATTCAAAGGGGCAGGGATGAGACCATCTAGTCTACTCTTAACAGATGAGGGGGCAGCAGTTCACAGAGGCAAAGGGGCCAGCCAAAGGCACACAGCCAGTTAGTGACAAGCCTGGAGTTACAGCCCAGGCATCAGGAAGTAGAAAGGGAGGCCTGCACACTGGAGATAGCCAGTGGGATCTGGAGGCTGCTGGGTTACCTTGGCTGGGACAGGATAAGGCTGTACAGAGGCAATCTTGTAAGTGTTGTGCTAAAGAAGCTCAGGAAAGAAAGGAATCATCAGAGAAGAACCAAAGGGAATTAAAAAACAAGAGCTGGTTAAACCATGGCCCACCCTCAGTCACAGTGTAGGAGTCAACCCTTTTGGAATATAACTAAGGAAATATTTCTTTTTTAAAAAATTATTTTATTTGTAGATGGACAAATAAATACCTTTATATTATTTATTTATATGTGGTGCTGAGGATCAAACTCAGTGCCTCATATGTGCTAGGCAAGTGTTCTACCACTGAGCTATAACCCCAGCCCCAATTTAGGAATATTTCTAAGAATATGTTCAACTTCTCTGGCGAAGTTTAATGTCTAAGTTTAAAAGTTTAGTTTCTGAGTTTTAAACCAATTAGTGCACATCAAGTTTTTCTTCAAAGTACTAAGTAATAAGCACTTAGAATTTAAGTAAATGTAGAGAATGTCTAGCATGTATATATATATATATATATATATGTATATATATATATATATACATATATATTTTTTTAAAAAATCTCTTGCCTTAAGATTCAGTGTTTATTTATTATCAAATTTTATTTTATTTTAGATCAATGAGACCAAGTGGATTTTTTATCATGTTTTTTAAAGAAAAAATGTGTCAAAAATCAAATTGCTGTTCTTAACATAATATTTTGCACTAAAGTCAATTTATAAGGTTGTGCCTTACTCTGCTTTATCATAAAGTAGTTTAGGAAAGTCCAGAATGCCCAAATGGCCCAAAGACCCCTGTACAGACAACTAATTCTCAGAAAACCTGCAAATGTCTCTGTCCTCAAGAACCAACTGAACTGCATTTCTCCTGGCTCCTTGTTTAATTGACATCAAGCAGGAAAAAATGAAATGAAAAATGAGAGATGATGACAAGAGAAAAACAAGGGCAGGGAAGGGAACTGAGTGGGGAGAAGTGATAGGATGGAATCCTAACAGGAGGCTAACTAGGAGCTAGGACCAGTCAAGTGGATCAGATATCTCCTCTGGAAGGAGAAAGAAGGTCAGGGTCACCTACAGACCTGATGATAGACAGTGGTGTGTTAGAGGCAGGTTCTTTGGCTCTGATAGGTGTAATCGTTTCCTTACCTCCAAATTAGTCCTTGCCTTCTTCAAAACATCATGTGTCCTGGTCACTGAAACAACAAAACAGCCCCACAAAGCAGGAATTACCAGCTGGGCCCTACTTGCTGGGCATGTGTTTTCTAAAGCATTTTCTTTTGACCCCTCAATCATGGCCTCTTGCTGACTCCTTCCTTCCCTCCCTCTGCACCCACAATTCCTCATGGCACAGGAGGTTTGGGCCCAGTGACCACAGACTCTCCCCTCCCAACATTCCAGTGCCTCTGTGGTCACTGTTCATCTGCAGCAAAAGTGGGGCATCTGCAAGACCACCCCTTTCCTCTGCTGCTCCACTGCTCAGGGGCACCTACACTGATTGACGATGAACTGCTCCATGTTCTCCTTCTGCTGGTTGGCAGTCTTCAGAYGCTCAGCTGTGGTCTGAAGGAGCTTCTCCTGTTTGGATACTTGGGCTCGCAGATCCAGTAGCTCCCTTTCCATTGATTCATCCTGGGGAAGAAGGATAGGCTCTCAGACAACAGTATGGAGACCAAAAGCATCCAGTGCTTTGTGGTTCCTACCAACTGGAAGCAGAACTCTATAATCTTCTCAACACTCTCTGGAGTATGTTCTCTCCATTACAGCCTCTTGATCCTCCAGTTCAGGATAGTTGAGGAAGAGGCCATAGGTAAGAATGTTGAAAACATGAAAGCCCCTAGACTAGCACAGGACTACTGTTCTGTGGCCAAGGAGACCCTGACCCCAGATTGGCAGAAAACTCCCAATTGTGAATAAGACCTCCAATTCAGTCCTTGTAAAAGTTCTATCTCATCCTTCCCCCATCCATACAAGACGTGGAATTTCAGAGATATGATGTATGGGACACAGGGCTGCCCTGAAGACAGTGTGTAAGTCTCTAAATATCTGTACAAATGTGAAGATGGTAAAGCACCTTCCCTGGAATTAGCAGTTAGCTCCTAAAAGATAACAGCAATATTTGTCTGGAACTCGAATATCTGGGAAGGGGATCCAGATGTGGGACCACTCCAGGCTTAGCAATAAGAGCCAGCCTGAGATCACAGCAGATCCTGGGGTTGGGGGCTGGGGGCTGGGGGGGGGGGACTCTGGCACAGAGATGATAATTTAAAAAGATATGTTGGGATTCTAGGAGCATGACCATAAGAAGCTTCAGGCTCATGGTGATATCCTCTGATCTTTTGACCAAGGAGACTTGAGGAGGAGAGAAACTTCAAAAGGCCCCTGAATTTCAGTTCACTCAAACTTCAGTTATAGTTCCTCCATTTTTTTTCTTTCTCCTCTTTGATTTATGATCTTGGAGGCTGGAGTATAAGGAGGAGGTAAGGTAATCAGAGCTGCCATGAAAGCAGCTGCCATGGATCAGGGGTTTCCCTCCAGGATGCTCCCCTAAGGTCGTGTCCATACTAATTTCCCATGTGGTTCCTGACCCTCGGAAAGCTGTGGGACTAAGGAGACAGAACCACACCAGAAACAGAAGAGCAGTATTTAAAATGGAAGAAGACATTAGTCTCTTACTGCTTTGCCAGGCAGTGCGGGGCCTTGGGAACTTGGCAGGGCCGCTCGCCAGAACATGGTCAGGAGGGAGGCTGACTCTTCTAGGGTGTGGTGCAGGGCACTGAGACTGCTGCGTAGCTCACGGACTCCTTTGTTGCCTGGTGCCTGTGGAAAGGGGGAAGGGAACCATGGACAACATTCAAGCTGAGATATCTCAAGGCTCAGGATATGGCAGGCCTGTATAGGTCTTAAGCTTGCTTCCTTTTAAGTGAGGCACAAAACATGGGATGCTTGAACCTATAAAACCCTGGTTCATCCCTGTGTGGTCCCAGGACTGAAGTGCTGCTCCCTTTACCTGGAATGCCTCCTCCACCTGGACACCCTATAAGGCTGTCAAAGCACATTCCCATGTCATGTCCTCTACAGACCTGTTACCTTCCTTTCCTGCAACAAAAGACCCTTCTGCATTGGTCCATTCAAGGCACAAGAGGTGGCTTCTCACATTGTGCTCTTGGCACCTTAGTTTGCTTATCAACAGAGGTCTGTGTCTTGCCCTTGAGTCCAGGCTCTCTGGAGGCAGGGCTGTGTCTATTCATCTATGGGTCTCTGGTGGCTCGGCATAGTCACTGATCCTTGGTTTCTCTCAACAGTAAAGTACTCTGAGAAGCACTGCTTCCCAGCCTTTGCTCTGTCTCAACAAATACCATAGTGTCCCACTTCTTACCCTTTCCACACACAAGGTCGTTATGGACGCAAATCCCTCAGCATCTGTCCATCTGATTGATTTTAAGTGGGCCAGCATGGGCCACCATGACTTAACAGGTAATAACTACCGGAGGGTGCTGAGTTCAACACAACATCACATGGATGTCAATACTTAACAAATGCACTACTGAGGATGATGACAATGTTGCACAGACTTCTCTGGGGCTCTAAGGAGGAATATCTAGTTGGCCTTCTCTACAACAGAGTAGAACTTCGAATGAATCAAGAGAAAGGGAAGCAAGGGCCTGGCTAGAATAACTGGAAGATGATTTCTCTGTCATTGGGAGATGCAGGCCACAAAAATAAATAGTGGAGAAGGAAGTAGAACTAAGGACAAGGGACACAAAGAAAGGGTGAACCCAGGAGGTGCAGGTGTGACTACCTCTGAGCTCTGAGATTCAAGGCCCAGGAAGTTGCATGTGGGCCTCAGGAGAGACAGGATCTTTTGCACCAGCTGTTTTCCCTCCTCAATCTGCTCCCTGAGAGCAGAATAGTCATCGATGTGGCCTATGACATGGCGGCCATTTTTGTTGGCGAAGGAGCCATCCGTAGCATCACCCTCCAGCTTGGGAGAGTTTTTCATTCCTGGAGGAGCATCTGATTCCAGCTCTGTAAAAGAAAACCACGATAATATAGGATCTGTTGTTATTCATAATGATATCCTCAGTTCCAGCCAATGCAAAGAGACAGTGAAAGGATCAAGAAAGGCAGCCTTCAAAAATGCAGGATGGTCAAGTCCATAGAGACCTTCTGGTTTCTTTATTTTTATAATCTTTCTTACATCGTTACATAATAAACTTGCTAGAAGACAGATTTTATCTTTATTGACAAGTGGACTATTCAGGACAAATAGTATTATAAACATGAAAAATTTATGGATAGAAAAGGCACAGACAAGTAAATCAGCGGGACACAGCACATATAAGAACGGAGAGATTACAGGGAAATGATGCAAACAGAACAACAGGACAACTGTGGGAAGAAGAATGAAAAGAAAGGCAGCCACAGAAGATTCAATGAATAGGACTGAAGGTTTTGTGGCATGCAGAGAAAATTTTCTAAATTCAGATATTGTACTTACAGAGAACCAACAGTTATTTGCATTAATAATTTTCCATCATGGTGTCTGAGCCATTTAGTTGCCATATTTACCATTTTTCCTGGTGACAATGGCAGTGTCTAAGCCAGGAGAAGAGGAAGAAGAGCTGGGAAGGACCAGAGCAGGAGAATTCATGCCAACATCACGAACTGGAGGGGAAGTAACTGAATCTAGGGAGTAAAGACAATCACAATTTTCAGAACCCCTTGAACATTCTGCACCCCAAATCATGCACAGCCTAATCTTTACCACCCAAGTCTAAGTTGACAGGCCTCCCCTTTCACAACATTAGCATCCACATGCCACAATGAAAAGCAAAAACCAACAATCAGTTCGCTTGGTATGTTTCCATTATTCAGGAAAAAAAAAGTGTAACTTCCCATTTAAAAACTTGTTAGATATAATTTTTTAAAAAAATATTTATTTTACTTATTTATATGTGGTGCTGAGAATTGAACCCAGTGCCTCACACATGCTAGGCAAACACTCTGCCACTGAGCCATACCCCCAGCCCATTGTTAGATATCATTTTATAAACCCAAACCTGAGTAGAATTTTGTATACGCTTTTTTGTATAATGCATAAATGTATGCATACATATGTTAAAATGTTAATCAAAGGTAGTGGTACAACTCAGTGATAGACTGCTTGCGTATTATGCACAAGGCCCTGGGTTTGTTGTTTTTTTAAATTTTTTATATTTGTTTATTTTTATGCATACTGAGAATTGAACCCAGTGCCTCACACTTGTGAGGCAAGCGCTTTACCACTGATCTACAGCTATAGCCTCCTTGTTGTTTTTTTTTTTTTTTTTTTGGTGCTGGAGATCAACCCCAGGGCCTTGTGCATGCAATGCAAGTACTCTACCAACTGAGCTATATCCCCAGCCCCAAGGCCCTGGGTTTGATTCCCTAGTACTGCAAAAAGAAAAAATAAAGTTGATAAAAAACGCGAAATATCAAAAAAAAAAAAAAAGACAGGAAGGTACTGCTGGGGGAAATGTGGGTCAGAGTGAGGTTTCCAGCTCAGGTCTCTGGGTACTGGGAGGAAGAAGGGACTAAACCATGGGGCTGCATCTCAGCTGGTACAAGGAAAAACACTAAGAGGGGAAACTTGGTTAGAGGCAAGAGGATGGGGCAGAAGTGGATGTCTGTCACCTAGAATGAACATGCCTGCCACCCAGTACTTTCCCATGACTCAAGACCATGCCCATCACGACAGCCCCATAAGGGTGAAACAGACATTCAATAAATGCTGAGAAGTTGATGCCAACTGAGTATACCACTTAGCAGTCCATAGGTATTTCTTACTTGATGGCCACAACAAGTCCATGTAATTGTGCCTTTCATTTGACAATTGAGGTCATACTTTCATAAATGAGTATTCAGCAAAAAAGGAAAAAATAAGGATTAACTTGACTCAGTAACATCAGACAGGAGAGTTTGAAAGCTCAGCCTTTTGGAAACCTGAGCATCAGTGATTCTTGATTAGAATAAAATTGGAGATATGGCCATGCAGGTGAGTGGAGAGAGTGGGTTAAATGATACATCAAAAGTAAAAACAGAAGAAGATGTAGAAGTTGAATAATGTGTCAAGAGCTTAGGTATGAGAGATCTGTTAACTTTCAATTAAAGTGAGGAAAGCAAAACTGAGACTAGATATCGAAGAGAGTAATACAGATCTGATGAACATGTGTATTTACATGCAGGCAAGAGGATGGGGCAGAAGTGGATGTCTGTCACCTGGAATGATCGCGCTTGCCACCCAGTACTTTCCCATAGCCCTGGTTTTCTTAGGGATAGGAGTATCTTGCCACATGCCAAGTTCCCCCAGATGAAGGAAAGGGCCACTCTACAGAGTGTGGCAAGGTCTGTGATACTGAGATAGAGTCTGGTAAGATGAAAAAAGATACAGATTGGGAATCAAAATATCTGGTCCTAGCCTGATTTGGTCCCTAAGTTCTATAAACCTTAGCTTGTCCATTAATATCTCAATGCCCCCGTTTTCTCATGTACTTCAGAGGAAATTAAATATTTGAAAATGCTTGGTAAATTGTAAGGGACCACACAAATACAAGGAATAGATGTTAACATATATAGCTGATAATTATTGAGCAATTCTTATTGTGCCAGACACTTGAAAATGATTTAATTCAATGCTCCAAATAACCATACATGGTATATATTTTATATTATTACCATCTGCAAGTTGAGGAAACCAAGGCTTCAACACTTCATTGTTTAAACACATTGCCCAAAGCAAACCACCTATAATGGTAAACGCAGAATCTGGAGACAGGTCTGACTCTAAATCCCATGCTCTCAGGACACCATATTAAAGCCTCTCCAATTTGAGAACTTGACCCTAAGTAACCTAAGAGAAGCAACAGTACCCCTTCCACTGCACACATATTGGTACCACCCCACTGGCTAAGGGCTTCTTGATTCTTTGTCCTTCCTACCTTGAAAGTGTGACTGCTTATTTCCAGGGTCAGGGTTGGATGGGAAGTTCTGGCTCACAGTGGAGGGGCTGAGGCTGCCTTTGCCAGTACCACCATCTAACTGCTGCTCCAACTGTAGCCGCAGACAGTTGTTCACCTGAATGCTCTGTTCTAGTTGCCCTCTCAGAGCTCGTATCTCTGCCACCAGGTGGTTCAAGTCACTGTTCAAAGGAACTTGGTGACAGCCATCCAGGCTGAAAGCTAAAAGAAGAGAGAAGAGGGGTTTGGTTGCATTGGCCCATTTTTTACAAGCACTTGTGAGAATACTGTTCTGTGACATTCCTTTCTGCCAAGGACCTTACTGTAGTCTCAGAGACTTGGGCAGCAAATCTGTGGTAGAGATGTTAATCATTCCTGTGTAGCCCCTGGGACACACCAAGGTGACACATTTTCAGTTTGGAATTTYCCGAGGTTCAAAATTACCACCATGTACTTAAAGGCATTTGATTGGCAGACAATAACAAATCTGTTATCTCACCTCCTTATTAACCTTAGTTCTGCAGGCTGGAGAGCAGGATCCTCCAAGGCAGGAGGTCAGCACTCAACTAGAGAAGGGTAGGGGCTGAGGGAGAAGATTTGATCACCTCTGCACTCAGAAATCAAAGAGGGAGAGGAGGAATGCACCAGGACTTTTGGTAACATGTAAAAATGGGAGTCAAGTACTTTAGACAGGGGTCCTAACAAAGTGAATTTTTCAGCTTCTCTATGGTTTTCATTTCTACTTACCACACATATTTGTACATACTATAATGAAAAGATCTCAGAAATATTTTACCTTAAAGCCAAATATATACATATATATGTATACTTTTTTAAAAAATTTTTTAGTTGCAGATGGACACAATAACTTTATTTGTTTATTTTTATATGGTGCTGGGGATCGAAACTCAGGCTTAACGCATGCTAGGCAAGCACTCTACCACTAAGCCACAACCCAAGCCCAAAGCCAAATATATTTTAAAATACTGAATTGGTTTTGATCTCTAGCAAGGCAAGAGGGTGCATATACCATGCAAGAGGGTGCCTTGAATTACTTGCACCAAATTGCATCTGGCCCACAGCCATTTACCCATCAAGTGATTATTTGAAGACTTATAAATGTCCTCTTGTCACTCAGTTAAAGAGTATATGAAAAAGCTTTTAATTCAATTTTAATTCTTATTGGATTTTGGAATTAAAAATAAGGAATTTTGGAGTTGTAGTGGCAACAGCTTTGTAATAAATCCTAAAAGACCCGTGAACAGGAGGAATGGAATAAAAGGGGAAGTGGTTTAGGATCAAGTGGCTTCAGAAACTAATCCAAAGTTTCTATCACACTCCTCCCTTTCTCTCCCTAGATCCAAATTACCACTAAGTTTTGCTTATTGTCAGTATTTTTTTATGAAACATTTTTCATGTGTCCTTCTTTATCTTCCCAAGCACCTTATATTAAGCTCTCACTTTTTAAAGCTCCCCAAATTATTTAGCCATCCAAGAGGTTTTTTAGATTCTAATGTCTCTAAAATGTCCCACCAGACTTAACATCTTAAAATTCTGTTTTCATTACATACTTTCTTTCATTGAAAAAGAAAAAACCATAGTTATTTCCATTGTATATAAACCTCCATGCTTGAATTATGGGTTTTCTATGCACTGGTGTCTTTCATTCCATTAATCTGATTTCTTACTCCTCCAATCAAGCTTCTCCTATAGACAGGCTGGTCTCTCTCCTGACCCAACATTCACATTGGCTTTGTACATTTGCTATTCTCTCAGCCTGGTAAGGCCCCTATGCTTCAAGTTCTAGTTCATTTTCCCTTTTTAGTAAACTAGGAAACTAAATCCAGTTTTAAGTAAATTCAAATGTGCCTTCTTCATCTAAAGAAGACAAATAGGGAAATATACCAAAATTCTCAAATACTAGATTATTATTTCAGCAGGTGGCAAAAGTCCTCAATAAAAATGCTAATATTTAAAATCAGGCTTGAAATTTTAAGCTTTCGAAGGTATTTTTAAAAGCCAATTATATACATATATATGTATACTTTAAAAAAAATTTTTTAGTTGCAGATGGACACAATAACTTCTGTTTTATATCTCTTAATTGTCCCATGGTGAGTTGGGGGGTCAGGATTAAGGTAAAGTAGGATGGCTGCATGGCTGTCATTATATATTATTTATAATATTTAAGACCTTCACAAATGATGATAGCACCAGAATAGTTCTTTGCATTAAAAACATGGTATAATCTCACGTTGATTAATTTGTTTCTAGCTACCTAAGTAGGTGAAGTTTGATTCTTGTGGCCTATTGTTAGGGCACCCAGACAGAATCTTGCCCATGCCACTAATGTCTCATGCTTGGGCTTTAAGAGGAGAGGGAGAAGAAAAACATACCTTTTAGTCCTTTTTTAGAATTTCCATAAAGTGCCTCATAGATCTGTAGCTCTGACTGCAGGGAATGGAAGAGCTGCTGTTTCTCTTCACACTGCTGCTGCAGGAGGGCCAGCTTGTGTTGCAGTCTGTCAGGGAGAAGCAAGGGCCCACTGAGCTGGCAGGGCTGCTCAGCCATACTTGTGCAATACACTATAAGCCAACCTTTGCTTCCTAGAGTTTTAGCTCTAGACTTCCCCTCAGGGATCAGGAAGACCATCTCCTTTACTTTACAGATGTAGAAGCAGAGCCTGGGACAGGTAAAGTAACTTGGTGTGAAGCAGCATTAGTTACCTAAGCTAGGACCAGGACAGACACACCAGCATAGTGTCTTCACTGGACCCCCAGTGCTCTTCATGCTGACAGGTAGTTGTGGAGCTTGTGCTTTGGATGAACATCATTCAAACTTGTGCTGCTGAGGCAGCTTCCAGGTAAAGGTGAAAGTAATGTCCTGTATCTAATTGGCAGCATGGGAATGGTCTTTCTCCAGTCTCTGGTACATGCAAGTCTTATGTAACTCCACTTTGGAGTGCAAAAGGTATCCCTAGAGAGGCCCTCCTCTGCTCAAATTCACCCAGGAAGCAGGAATAGCAGATGGGAAACCAGGCTTCCCAAAGAGGACACTACTGTCTTGCCAATGTACCTTATAAATCYGAAAATGGGGCTCCCTTCCCCTTACCTGGAGTCATTTTCCTGGAGGGACAGACGTTCCTCCCTGAAGTGCAAGATCTCCTGTTGCTTCTCCTGCAGGTCTTCTAGAAGCTGCTGCCGCTCCAGTTTTTGCTGCTCCAGCTCCTTTTCCAGCTCTTGAAGGCGGGATCGAGAGGAGAACAGAGCCTCCCTCAGGCATTCTGTTTCCTGTGAGTGCCCTGGTGGGCAGAACAACAGGTGTGGGGTAAAAGCTCAGTAGGGAGATGAGCCAAAGTGCACCAATCAAAACCAAGGTAAGGCATAGGGACAGAGTTTGGCTTACTGTACCCATATATGCTAAAGTCCGGTATACCTCCATTTTTGCAGTGCCTGATTCTCTCATTTAGTATGGCCTCCCTCACTCTGAAGGAAGACATTCTGGTGTCTAAAGCTTACCCTTTATTGTTTGTTCAACAATCTATCTCAAATTTGCCAAAGACCAACATCAAGATTTCTTGACCATGGTTTTTAGAATATATTTTTTCATCATTTTGAAAATTGGGACATTTGTTTTTGGCAGGGCTAGCAGCATCTCTCTGATCACAAATTTTCAAATATGATTGATAGGAACCTTGAGAATAAGGCTGGATGTTCAGTCAGTCCTCTGAAGTGGAACTTGCCTGGGCCTAGCAAACAGTACTCATTTAAATCTCTACTCTCTTCTCACCGGTAAGGTCTGTTCTATTCTTTCCAAATATGCAATGATAGTTTAGTCACTCTTCCTTCTCTCTTCACTATTAACTTTTGTTATCTTCCCCAAGCAGCAACCTTTCCTCTGAAGTATGCTTCAGAGTGACTAATTAAGGAATTTCTCTTGAAGCCTTTGGCTTCCTCAAGCATTTCCTCATTCTGGATTTATTCCTCTCAGAAACTATTCTTAGCCTTTTTGTAGATATTTAATAAATATCTGTAAGCAAAAAGAATTTGTGATGGTTATACATTGATTTGATTGGGTCAATTAACTCTAAATCAGGTGCCTCCCAGGTCACATGAGAAATGACACTTACCCATAGATGCCCATCAAATACAGTTGGGAGAGTTATGGAGAACATTTGCTAGTACCTCCTGACACAGAAGTGTAGGACTACTTATCAGAGAGCAGCGTGAAATGTATAGTGAGGGGATGTGGTGAGGTGACAGAAGAACAGATGAGGGACACACTGCTGCAATTCAGTGTGGAGAAATGTGACAGGAAATACACACACACACACACACACACACACACACACACATTTCTTCCTTTCAAGGGTCCAAACCAGCTGTGAATGGGAAGAGGTAGAGTAAATCTCAAACTGATAACCAGTTTGAAAGTTAGTGACTCTGAACCTCTGTAGATGGACTTCTTGGGAGGGCCATGGTTGGGACCTCTTAGGAAGTAGCCCTTTGTAGAGTGAGAGTGAGAATGGCTACGAGAATCTTGAATTGGTAGATTAACAGCTTAATAGCTGTTATCTCTGCCTTCTTTTCTTTGCTTCTCCAATTGGTGACTGCTGTGGCCAGGGAAGAAAGAGACATGGGTGTTACCAGTTTGTGATTTTTGTTCACCTACCTCTGGAAACGTGACTCAGCTGAGCTTGAAGGCTCCGGTTTTCTTCCCTGAGGGCTCTGTTCTCATTGTAGAGCTGAGGCATAGATTCCAGGTTCTGACTGTAGAAGTGAGAGGTGGATCCTGTCCAGGGAAACATACATTTGAGTTACAGATACTTCCAAAAGTTTGCCATTCTGTATCTCCCAGAGATCTTTTGTCCCAACCTAGCAGAAAGCTCCCAAAACTCTAAGCAGCTCAGAGGAAGAGCACAGGGAGAGAGAAGAAATAGTGGGGGAAGGCCCTTATAGATCAGGTTTTACCACATGCCAATCACAAGGACACACAGAATCAGTAGGCAGCATGTAAGGAGATTAAGTATGATGTGAGAAATAAGTAGACTCTGGGGACTAGACCTAGTTCGGCCTGGAGGAAAGTTATTCTCTAAGCTCAGATACATTCATGAAGTAGGATAATAACGCTTAGCCATCTCCCTTGCTGGACGGTCTGTAGGGAGCTACTGAAGGAAAGTATACCAAAGGGTTTGAAAACTGAAACTCTGCCAAAGGGCCTTTTCTTCAAAAGTTCCCTAAATACATCCAGAAACAGGAAGAGCCGGGCCTTCCCTACCACTGTCACGGGCAGTGGAACTGAGGCGGTGTTCCAGCTGCTCCCGCAGGCGGTCATTGATGCAGATGGACTCTTCCAGCCGCTGGCGCAGATTCCGGATTTCACCAAGATGCTCTTCCAGTAGGTCAGCCCCTGCATCATACCACCAGGACATGGAGAGAAGTGGGAAATGAGAGTCCTGGTTACTAGGAAGAATGGGAGATGGATCAGCCTCAGCATGACCCCTAAAAATCACCATCCTTCTGCTAACTTCCTTCTCTCACACGGGCACTGAGGGGACACCGGTAACTTTATTTAAAGAGTAAATGGGCTTTCAAGCGCAGAATGGTCCTTTACTAAGGAAACCCCATGGGCTCTCTCTCACACAGAGGCCTGGTAAAGTTCCACATGATTTAGAAAAATAACTGTCAACTCTGGTTAGAGCTTGCCTACCATCGGGAAAGGCCTGGCCACCGCCTGGTGTGGCTTTGAGGATGATAGAAAAGTCCTCACTCTGACTTTCTTCTAATGCCTTTCTTCTTACTGATATTATGACTGAACAATTTTTAGCATAGTCCTCCAATCCTTAGAGAGAAGGCCTAAATTAAAAGCACATGACCTTCAATTTATCCCATGTGGTTAATGACCCAAACTAAAACCTTCCCTCAAATCGCTTTTAATATGGTGGGAAAAGCAGGATAGCCTGCATAGATTGAGGGATCTGAAGATGGATTAGAGAGGAGAAAGGAGCAACCCCCAAGGAAAGAAAAAGGATGCAGAAAAGAAAAGTGGAAGAGATGCTAAGAATAGACCGCATCAACTATACCATTTTGTTTGGGGCTCAATCTTTTTCTGAGAATTATAACATCTTACTATTGGAACTGAGCTGTGTTCCTGTATCCACCTGCTTAGTTATACCCCTCCACTTGATGTGATTGTTTTTTGTGTACAATACATATGTGTACRTGGGGATTTCATAAAATTCATGACTGACAGAAGAAAATCCCTGTGAACATCTGCCTGGCCATCTAGAAGGGTCTAAAAGAGTGGGCTGCAAAGAGGTCAGGTTCCATGAAGGAGAACAACATGTGTGAGAGCACAGGGGATGGGTCACTGACTTTTCTATAGCCCTGCAGAGCACCAAAACCCTCTGCAGGGAGAAAGAAAGGGTGCACTTAGCACTTAGAAAGAATGTGGTACTAAGACTGCTCTTTTTTTTTTTTTAAAGAGAGAGTGAGAGAGGGGAGAGAGAGAGAGAGAGAGAGAATTTTTAATATTTATTTTTTAGTTCTCGGCGGACACAACTTCTTTGTTGGTATGTGGTGCTGAGGATCGAACCCGGGCCGCACGCATGCCAGGCGAGCGCGCTACCGCTTGAGCCACATCCCCAGCCCTAAGAATGCTCTTTGATCATATTCCTACTCTGGGAGCCAGGGGTTGGGGAGGAGTGAAGAAGCCCTGTCCAGGTAGGAGACGAGCAAACCAAATGCTATTCCTTTCAAAGGCCAAGACTCTCAGCTTTGTGTTTACCTGTGGGTTTGGAGTTAGGCTGATACACTGAAGAACCTGAAGAGATGTCCCCAGAGACACTCCCTTTCTGAGGTCTCATGACATCCCACTGGCCATTGCTACCCAGGTACCCAGGATCCAGGATTCTGCCCAATTCCATGGCACTCCTCATTGGAGAGTGGGACTGGGCAGGGTTGAGGTAGTGGGAAGAGCTGGTTTCTGAATGGCTGCCTGGCAACGTGGCTGTGGAAGCTGGAGGAACACTGCTGACACCTGCAGAAAGAAACATGAGTGAGAAACCAACAGGGTGTCAGAAGGGAAGGATCAGCAAGGAATTCTGTGATTACTAAGAATGGAGATTACCAGGGGCCATGTGGGTCTTCAGAGGTCACATCCACTGTGAGACACCAATGGCATAAAGACCTAGAGGGGATAACTTGCACCTTTTGTACTTCTTAGCATGAGACACCAATAGAAAAGGATGGATAAAGTAACCTGAATCACCTTCGTATACAAGGAAAAGTCCAGTGACCCTATTCCTGGATCCTACTATAATTCTTCATGACAGAGTCTAGGAAGTTTCCCGAGAAGTTCCAGAAATAGGACTTACTCCCAATGTTAGAGGTCAGAGCATGATGGGATGTAGGATTGAACATCCCTGAGAACAGGAATGTTTGCCTATGAATATTTGCTGTCCCTGCTAACCAGTAAATCTTTCTATTCCTCCTTTGGAGTTTTCAGAGGAGAAAGAGGACACAAAATCCAGCAAGACAAGGCAACTCAATTCCTCTAGACTAAAGAACCCTATTCTGAGCCTGAGAAAGCCCTATGTAAGGCAAGTTGTGATTTGGATCCCCTCCAACATGATTCAAGGAACTGAAAGGTGTCACCATATCTGCCCAAAGACCACTGAACCCATTCCAAGGAGGGAGGCCTGACCTTGTATTGCATGGACTGATGTCTCCATATGTCCTATGAAACCACAGGGCTTCCACTTGAGCCCTTGAAGCAGAAGTAAGAAGTTGGGTGACTAAAAACTGTAAAATTCTGCCTATATCACCTGTTTCTAGCCATAATTAGGGAGCTTCTGAAGAGAAGACCATTTGAGTTTCATCTTTGCTTCTGTGTTTAAAAAAAGAAATAAAAGAAAAAGTTTGACATGGGAAAGAGGGGAGAAAACGTGGGCAGGGCCATAATTTAGAAAATTCAGAAGACTGCTTTCTTCCAAGGATTATCAACATGGGCAGCAGAACAGACATGCATCTTCCCCTAAACAAACAGGAGTGAGTTCATCATTTCCTTCAATCAATCTAAACTTGTAAGAGGGGTTAATGCAATTATCACTTGCCAGTTTACCCCCAATTTTTCTAGTTGTTCTTTAAAGCACTATTAGTGAGTAAATTCATCATATGAAGGGGTTTTTTTCCCCTCTTTTTTCCTAAACCCAAAGTATTATTTGGGTTTAGGAAACACACACACACACACACACACACACACACACACACACACACAAATAAAATTTATGATGAGGTATCCAGCCCATAAATATATCAAACTATTTTCTAAAAGATGACTGTACACAGCCTATAAATTATGTGACTATATAAGATGAACTATCTTTGGGAGTCAGAGGACAGAATTCACAATCAGACATCATGACCTGTGTTTATGATTCCAGCTGTCCTGTCCTGGGGTGGACATGAACCTTGTGCAACAAAAAAGGGCCTCTGTTACTTCTGCTTCTGAATTCTTCTACCACCACCCTTTTTCCTTGAGCTCATAATGTCAAGAACTAAACTTGATTAAAATCATTTCACAGCAGAATATAAGAGCCCCACAAGGAGTCCATCCATATATGTGGCCACCTTTTTTTTTTATAGTCATGTAATCCTAAGTGGACAAAACAAAATCTTTCTTCCATTCCCTACCAGTAAGTACTTCTCCCAGCTGTCTGCATTCTGCACACTTGGTGGTACCCAACCTGTCAAAAGTGTGTGAGCACTAGGTCTAGAGCTTCCTGAACATATCCTATAACTGATGAGACACACACACCAGAAAGACAAAAGCAAATGCATATCAAGATAAGCAAGCAGAGCCTTCCCTCCCTCTTCCATTTATAGCATGTGCCACTGTTTGTTTTCCATCTTTACCATCAAGCCAAAGCCATGCAGAGCAACACAATGTGAGACTGCCACTCGCAAGCACACAAGGGCAGCAGTTGTGCTCACTTTCTCCCAACTGCTTCTGCAGCATCTGCAGCTCCTGTTGAGCCTCAGCCAAGGACACCACTGGTGTCTCACAGCAGCCAAGGAAGGGAGGACCAAGGGGGCTGAAGGGCAGGAAACTGGATGGAGCTGAGGGCAATGGAGCCTGGGGGAGGCTAACCGGCTTGGGTATGGAGTTAAAATGAAAGCCTAGAAACAGAAAGTTAGGGAGAAAGGAGACAATATCATTAGAGAGAAAGTGAGAGAAAAGCATGGGTAAAAGATTGAGAAGGTGAAATAATTCCCTGACCAGATACCAACTGGTAGAGTGGCTTACACTTAATGAGGTGCAGGCTGAGCCAGCCAAGAGTGACCTTTGCTCCAAAGAGGTTGACCCGGCTGACCTCTCCTCCTTCTCCCCTGCCAGGGCTGTCTTATATATATGTTTTTTGCTCATCTTGAAATCAATTGGCTACAGAAGGCAAGGGGCCATTACTGACCCTCACCCATATCAAAATGGCTGTGCCCCAATGACCTCAAGGGCCACTGGGTGTTACTCCCAGCATGTATCAGTCCTTGACTCTGGGAGTGATTCTTCCTACACCTATACTTCCTCTTCTGAAAGCATCAGGGTCCATCTTGAGGAAGGCAGGAGTTGATAGGGCTGTCAGGAAATTTGCATTACTAGTACATGGAGTTCAAGATTTTGATGGAAACAAATGTCAGAAACCCAAATCAGCATCTTCTTTCACCAGAGGAAAAACAGAAGCCTTTATTCAGTGGCTTACAAACTTGTCTGGGCACTAGAACTACTTAGGACAAACTCATAATACATGCAGATTCTTCTGTCCTTAATGTAGAGCTACAGAATCATGAACTCTGAGAGCAGGGTTTGGAAATTTTCACTTTTGAGAAATCTCCAGGTGATCTTTATGCCGCCCATTGATAGCCTGATTTTTGTGAACCCTGGGAAGTTCCAATGTTTGCCTCTGTTTCTTCTTTACTAAAAATAGGTAGAGGACCAATGGAAGGACCAGAAATTAAGACTGCCCTGTAGAGAATGTCTAATGTAGAAGACAAGACAGTGGTTACATTCTAAAACTCATTCACTGCCCCRTGAGGCTGACATCATGACAGAACAATACTGCAAAGACACCCAAACTGCCAAGTAGCACAGCTCAGGCCTCTTGTGGAAAAAGTCTTCTGATTCTTAAAACCCCTGGCTTTCTGCTCTGTGAACTGAGCATTTAAGCAGATATCTATAGTTCTGGGTAAAAAGTTTTCCCCCATGATCTCTTGGTCTAGCTGGTACATACTCTGGCTCAGAAACTCTATGCCCAGTCTCAGGTTAGGGACACCTTTCTTCCTCAGAAGAGAGGAGGGTGGCAAAAGAAAGCACTGTGCTTCCTGGGAGAATCCCTATCCATGTCAGACTACACTGAAGGCAGCCATCCAGGTGTGTGGGGCAGGAGGTAAAGACAAGGCTGGCCCTTTCCCTGCCAACCCTTGTATAGAGCTGTGAGTGAACAATGTAGCCTCTGGCAACTATGCTGAGACATAGAAGTGAAATGTACCCATCTAGTTGCCCCCAGGATATATATATACCCCACGAACAAATCAAGGCCTAGTAATACATTCACAAATCCAGGAATGACTAAACAGAATTTAGTCACAAAGTAAGCCATACCACCCATTACACAGGGCCACTGTGAAGAATACATGGGTAACATGTATGCAGGATCAGTAAATGGGAATTTCTTTCTGTTCTTTGATTGTAATCCTGTAAGAAAATTTTGCCTCTTTGTTTCCCTAGCTAAATAAAAGAAAGAAATAAAAATGTTTATTTAAAATTATTAGCTAACTATTGGTCAAAATTGGTATGCTGATCAAAACTTGTCATCGATTACTTATGTTCTAATTTTTTTTAAATCAGACACAATTGGTGCATTAAAGTGGTATCTTGATTTTGTCTAGGATGTGATGCACCAATGGTTTCTATGTTCACACCTTTGTCCCTGAAGGAAAGTCCAACGGGCAGCTGAGGAAGAGGAGATGAAGCTACTGCATACCTGGATGGGCCTGGTTGGCCTCCTTGGGGGCATTCAGGGGAGTTGGCAAGCTGATGGGGTTGCTGCTGGACTCGGCCTTAACCCCCTGTGAAGCACTGGTTACTGATGGTTTAGAAGACAATACAGCAGAAAGACTTGAATGATGGATGGAATCTATAAAACCCATGAATGAAAGAAAATGATGTTCCACAGAGAACTGGAATCCTGGCCTTATATTTAACTACGGGTACCAGGGCTGGGGTCTTGCTGTCAGAAAAAGCTCCAAGCACAGGCACTTTTGCAGTGTTCATTTTCTTGCTTGCAAATAGTTCCTTTAGTGAGGTATCCACTTCAGGGGTTATAGTGGGGCTCAGAGCCCTGAAATTATGAAATCTCTACCTCTAAAAATATCAGGGAAGACTGGCAGCAGCAACTGTGGACACCCACAGATACTTAGGAGATACTGCTCAGGAACTGCAGCAAGATCACTACAAGAGAGACGAGATGTTCAATCTTAAAGAAAGATGTCTATCAGATTCAGTGAAGAAGAAAACTCTTCCCACCATCTTCTCATTCTGTGCACTACAGATTGCCTTGAGTCCAACAGCAATATATGCTGATGGGTAATAGGTGACATAGTAAATTGCAGAGTCAGGAGCAAAGTCCCTAGCCCATGGGAGCCTGTGCTTGGCACTTGGTCCCAAAACCATGTTCAGCCTGATACACACCAAGGCAGAGCTATAAGGCCTGGTTTCCTAGGTCTCTGCTCAGTCTAAATAGAAGGGCACCTCTCAGAAAGTACAGACTACCTGAGTGACCAGGTGAAGCTTTCTTCTCTTCACAGTGTGTATACTCGCTGGCTATGTCCATGTCAGAGCAGGCTTCCAGCTCATCAGATAAGAAGGAGGTGCTGCTGGGAGAGCGGTGGAAGTCAGACAAGGCATGGCTGCTGGGGGGCGAAAGAGACCGGGCATCCAGCTTGGCCTGCAGGACTTCAATCACTTTTTCCTTCTCCTGCAGCTCCCTGCTGAGCCTTGTGGGAAGAGAGGTAGACAACCGGTGAAACCAAGTTCACACAGTCCAGCAAGTCCTTACTAAGGCATATGAGAAAAAGTCACATAAGCCAGGGGGACCATTCTGCATAGCACAATTGACATAACTCATTTCTAATTGGGGCTGGAGGACAGGTAGGGGACAGATGAAGAGTGAACAATAGTTACCCAGCACACTGGCTACATAGTATGCTCAGGACCTGAGGAGATAGTTATCTAGGTATGATATGATCTCTGAACAACTGCAGCCCAAGGACTGTTTCTTATCTCCAATTAGACCAGTATAAAATATTGAAATTGAGCATTTAAAAGCATTAAAAAAATTGTCCCAATATCTAGGACTACATTAGGCAGAATCATCTAGTTGACTGAAATGTCTGTGATAGATTAGAAATAAAAATCCAAATACATTGACACCACAGTTATTTTGAGGCACAGTTGTAACACAGACAGCTCAAACTAGTGGCTATAACTTACCCTTAGCACATATCTTATAGAGCATTATAAGAAGTGACACATTAAAAAAAATGGTTCCTGAGGCATCGTGGCTTCCCAGGGCATCCAGCCTCTTTCACTGGGCCTCTTTCACTAGATACGGTATTATGACTCCTTCTTCTCCAAGAAAATTGGGTGGCCATTAAGCAAGCTGTCAATCCAACTTAGGGCAAGCCAACCTTGTAAAAATCTTAACCCTGGTCACTAAATACACAGGGGGAAAGCAGGGAAGGCCCCTGGGAAAGGTGAGAAGACTCCTGAAACCTTTTAATTCACTTGTAAGTCATGCTAATTCTAAGTTACGAACCTTAGAGAATTAATGTGTCCATGGAATTATATCAAAAGAGAAGAAAGGATTTGGTTAAAAATAATGTTAAGATGTTCAGTGAATAAATTAATTGATTACATTCAGCCCCCCCCCCAATTTATGAAGTTGCAGCACATTTGACCCCTTGGGCCCTAGTCCAGATGCCTTTATAAGATTATTTTCTGAATTACCTGAGGGCCAGCGGCTCAAGTTCAGCTTGTTCTTTCTCATTTTTATGATCCTCTGCAAACCAAATTCAGAAAGAAATAGTAAGAAATTAAACACATCTCATTTCACACATCATAAACTCAGGGGCCTATTCAGACACAGAATAGTGATTACTCTACATGTGTGTCCAGAATAATTATTTTGAGGACCTCAGTTGTGTCTTTGTAGAAGTGAGGTGGCAGACTCAACTGAGTTTGCTAGGCAGGCCTTCCCTAACCATTGTGACTTTGTCTGCCTTAAATCATGGCAAAACTTCAAAATATCTTTTGCCTCCTTGATCACGAGATACCTCTTAGGTGCCCTCTCAAATACTCCAGCCTTTATGTCCTGCCATAGACTTCCTCCCAAATACACAGCTATGTGTCCCATTACTACTCTCATGTAGAACCTACTCTTGTCTCTGAGGAAATGACAGCCCTGTTCCATCTTTGCACCTGTCACCAGTAGAAGGACTGGTTGGTCCCCCAAGTCTGAGCCTGCTATAGTCCTAGGAAATTCTATGTAACAGGTTCTATAATAACCAACATATCCCTTGAACTACCATAGCCACTACCTTCATTATGCCCAAAATGGCTTTATTTATATTTGAAATACATGTATGTATGTATGTGTGTATATGTGTGTGTGTGTGTGTATATATATATATATATATATATAATGCAATCAATTAAGAAACAGATGATAAAAGGAAAAGTAATTTGCTCAAAGCAGGTTGATGGCAGCACCTAGGATGAACTTGCATCTTTCAGTTCTTAATTCAGGCCTCTTCATTGTAACAGAGCCCTTTCATCTCCCTCTCTCTAACATTAGATGGATGCTACCTCCTGCCTGAAAAGTCACATTCAATATGTGATGAATTCTCTGCAGTCGTAACCATGGCATCTCCAACCATGTATGTTCCTCTTGGTACTCCTTGCTAGCCAGTCATTATCCTGTAATGGCCCATAGGAGATGAAGTAAAATTGGACCCTGGGATAAAATTGTGCAGTGGAGGTGTGGTGGTTACCTGGGCCTGAACTGTGAGAGTGACTGAGAGTATTCCAAAGTCCCATGTCCTACTTACTGGTGCTGAGTTTGCTGGTAAGTCTCTCAGTCAGCTGACTTCCCTGGGCAAGTTGTTCCCGGAAGCTCTGACCCAGGTAGTAGTCAATATCATTGCTCCTTAGGAGATCCTCAAAAGATTTGACTGTATCTTTTGCATGCTGGGTAAGAAGATAACAAATACCCCTCCCTTCTCGTATTTTTTGCCGTAGGTAGGATAGTTCTCGGGCCTGATCCTGAATCAGGGAATCATATTTTCTACAGGAAAGAGAAGAGAAGAGAAGAGAAGAGAAGAGAAGAGAAGAGAAGAGAAGAGAAGAGAAGAGAAGAGAAGAGAAGAGAAAGAGAGAGAGAGAGAGAGAGAGAGAGAGAGAGAGAGAGAGAGAGAATGAATATGAATGAATATGGGAAAAAATGAATTAAAGTTATAGGGGCTTCCTTAGAGATTTCAGAGAGAATATACCTAAGGAACTCCCCCAAGAGAAATTCATATAATCCATAGGAGTTATTTAAGAATAAATGCTATTCTGAGAAACTACTGCATAAAAAATTAGTATGCCACTGTTCTTCAACTGCTTTATACATATTAGCCATATGTCCAAAACTAAATCATAAATTCTGTGAAAGTAAAGACAATACCATATGGTACATCTCATACAGCACCAGTATAATGTAGGCTCACAATAGATAATAAACACTTAAAATCACTTAATCCTAAGTTACATAGGACTTTTCATGTCTTTTATTTCTTCTGTGCTATGATACTGTGGCAGACTGTAATTTACAAAGATGGCCATTATACGACCTCCAGTCCCATATGCTCTGGTACAATTTGGCTTTGCCACTTCTTCATCAGCATTTAGAGGTTATTCTCTACTTTCTTAAATCTTGGAAGGCTCTATGACCATTTTAACCAAGATAACACAGTGGAAGTAACATTGTGCCAATTCTGGGACTAACTCTTAACTGACCTGGCAACTTTTACTTCCTGCCTGAGATCTCAGCTTTCACAGAGAAAGCACTCTGAGAACACCACACTATGAGAAGCCAAAGACAGAAGGAAAGCCCTGGACATTAGGAAGCCCTGTGGAGAAAGAGAAGCCAGGGAGCACTGACTCACTAGACATGTAGATAAAGAAATTGTGTCCAGCCCAGTGAAGTCTTTCTGATTATTCCAGCCTTAGCTACCATTTGATGGCAGCCACCCAGGGGCCCTGCTGAGCCCGGTAAACCCACAAAACCATGAGAAATGATACAGCTACTATGTTGTAAAGTGATTATTTAGCAATAGATAAATATGACAGATACCAAGATGGATGTCCATCCAGTGTTTTTCAAAATGAAGTTTCAGAAACAATAACAATTATGCAAATAGCACTGAGCTTAATGCATGTCAGATACTATTTTAAGCTCTTGCATTAATTCACTGAAAGCTACTAACCATCCTTCGAGTTGGCCTCTCTTATTATCTTCATTTAATAGGTAAGCAAATAGGTTCAGAAAAGTTAGGCAAATTGTACAACTAATAAGTGACAAAGCTAGGAGTTAAACCCAGGTAGTCTGAATCTAGCTTTCTACTATCTCATACTAGATAGATTACAGTTGATAGACAGACAGACAGATACTTTAAATATATTCCTAATAGAAAATCCCAGCAACCTGGTATCTCCCAGACACTGGGCCATCATACCATGTACTAATGATAGCTGATAATAAGTATCTTCTCAGACTTACCACCACTTAAATAAGTGCCTTCTTACTATGTTGATATGTTCTTCATTCCAACTACCTAGGTCACTCAATTCCAACCACAAACTTAGACATCATCAATCAAATAGTGCACTCCTTACCCAGGCCACGAGGCTGATCTCAGCTCCTCGGCCAGCTTCCCTTCTATTCCGGTTTTTGGGAGCTGAGCTTCCAGTTGGGATACTCTCTGGACAAGACTCTCCAGATCCTTTTTGGCCTGAAGGCCTGGAGGGTAGAAAGCCCCAGTGCCATCAGACAGCCACCCCTCATCCTCATCAGTGACACTATGGGGTGAAGACCCCTCAAGGGTGCCAACAGCCCTCAGCTTCCGGGGTCTTTCCAGACTAGATGAATAATCACTTGTAACCGAGAGAGACCGGACACGGCTCTTGAGGTTCTGAATGACCTTGTTGGCATTCTGCAGCTGGGCTTTCAGATCTTTAATGTCCTTTCGTAGAACAGAGATGTTTTCTGACTTTCCATATGCCTGGGACTCTTCCTGCTTCCCTAGCCGGCTCTCTGAAGGCTTCTTCCCAGGAGGGTGTGTGAGGGCTGGGCCCAGGCGCCCTTGCTCAGAGCACAGCCCTTCCATGAGTACCAGGCTGTTGTGCTCCTCACATTCTGAAAGACAGAGACAAAGACATCTTCCTGAATACAGACTGGACATGCTACTGTGGTCATTCCCTTTTCAGGGAATAGGTTTAGCCATAGGAATAAAAATTGGAGCAAAATTGGAGCAGTACTCAATTCAACCTGGTTCTGTACCAGTACTCAAACCTAATATTTTATATCCTCCCAACAGTCCTGCAAGTTAGGTATGGATGCCTTCCATTTTACTGACTCAGAGATAAACTAACTAGCTCTAGATCATTCAGACTAGCACATGGCAAAGCCATAATTCAAATCCTCCAATGTCATGTGTACGTCCCATACACATTGCTGCCTCTTAAGTATGACATTAACTTGGGCCTTTATTAAATAGACATTTAATAATGATAGTAGTTTTATTAAATAACTATTTTAGCAGTTGAGGAAACTGAAGCACAGAGAAATTCATAAACTGAAATTTGAACCAACTAGGCTTGCCCCAGGATTTCTGCTCTTAACTGCCACACTACTCTGCCTCAAGGGAAAAGAGATGGAAAGTGTTTTTCTCCTTTTCTCAGTATTAATTAGGTAGGGGCCCCATGACTATTGTCTTTTATAAGGCAAAACAAAATATTTTTAAAAATGTATTGCTTACATAACCCCAAGAGCTCATCTATTCCCTTCTTTCATAAGTAGTCCTTGGTATTTTTTTCTATAATAGTGATATGGATAGAATGTTATTTTGTTAAGAGAAGTATGCTAAAAGTTAATCATAGAAGGTGAAACTCATATTCAGACTCATTTTGAAGCAGAGTTCTCCACATTTCCTGTCCTTTTCTGGTCCTGGGTCCCTTTCAAWCACAACTCCCCAACCCCTACTAATCAATAAGGTATGGGAATAGCCTAGGACCACTGGAACAGGAATGCATATAGCTCTCTTTATAGGAGTGCTCTCAGAAAATGTTTGCTCAGTGATTGAAGGGAAGAGACAGAAACCTCCACTCAGCCCTCCTTGCATTCCTGTTCCAGTGGTCCTAGAATAGCAACCAAATGTGACAGCTGACCTTGGGGCAGGCAGGTGAGTCCTATACCCTATGATCTTACCAGGGCTGGTGGTCTCCTCACGTTCAGCCTCATTTTCACTTCGACCACAAGTCTCATAGCCCAGGTCCTGGAGATCCACCTGGACCTGCTTGCTGTCCTGCTTCACCAGGGATTCACCTGCTCAGGAAGTAACAGAAACTATTACAGAGTATCTGAATTTCTCACATGTTCCCTGAACTTCTGGGGCATTCACCCTGAACTTTAGGGGCAGGGAGGTCAGATCAAGTGTGGAATATATGTTCTTTTGATTGGGGGCAGGAGAAGAAATCACCTGCTCCAGGCAGGATTTCTTTGAGGATGAGCTTGTTTTTCACTGATAATCTCACTTCTGACAATGTAGGTTGGGACTAGAAACTTGTAAGTTGGATATCCAATACTATCATCTCTGGAAGCTGCAGTGAGACTTGCAAGTCCTTTATCCACAGGAGTTCAGTAGATGTTTAAATGGGGCTGAGCTAATGTAGAGTCCCAAGACATCTAGACCTGTATTGGCTAATACAGTGGCTATTTTATATTAAATTAATTAAAATCAAGTAAAACCTAAAATTTCCAAATTGCATTAGCCATATTTTATATGTTCAATAGTCATATGAGACAGATATATATATATATATATATATATATATATATATATATATGTTTTCTACTTTCCTACCACTGCAAAAAAGTTATATTAGACAGTGCTGATCTAAACCAATAATTTTTATACATTTTTAAAGAATCTGTTATAGTGCAAAGAAAATAAAAGAGAACCAATTACACTGAGAGAGGAAGGCAGTTTACTTACTATACCAGAAATTAGCAAACCTAGATGAGTTTTCTATACATGCCCATTGCAACCTTGAAATTTTTCTTTCTTCCTTTTTTCTCTGCCATCTTCAAATTGAAGTAAAATATCCATTTCCACAGTTCTAGCACTATGGTCAGGACTGAATTTGTTTTGAGACTCGGTGGGGGAGGAGGGGGGAAGAGTAAAATCTGCAAAACCTATCTTTTCTTAGGAAGAACAAAGACACTGTGATGGTGAGCTTCCAATACTTACTAAATATGGCTCTGTACTTCTCCAGCTGGTTTGCCTGGGCAAAGACAGTTGCTTCTGAGATCAGTAGCTTCTCCTGAAGGTCTTGATAGCATTGTCTGCACTGAGCCAGCTGAGAGCGCAGGTGCTTGGTAGAACCACGCAGGCTAAATTCTGATTGAGGCCTAGCATCCTGGGCCTGAGACTGGTTATCCAACTGTAAAAGGGACCAATACAAGGATCAAGACAGCCTGAGGCCATCCCCCCCTACCCACACACACACAGTGATAGCCACTTCCCCCTTTGAACACTGTGGGTTATACTCATRTGTCTGTCAGAGTACTTGTCACACCATTCAGTAGTTACTTGCTTTAGACAGAGCTCCTAGAGAGTTTCTAAAATGTCTTATTCATCTCTGTATCTATAGCACACAGCACAGTGCTAATCAAGTCTATAGGAGAGCTCTCAGAAAATGTTTGCTCAGTGATTGAAGGGAAGAGGTAGAAACCTCCACTCAGCCCTCCTTGCATTCCTATTCCAGTGGTCCTCTCAGAATCCTCTGTATTGTCCATTGACTGAATCCTCAGCAAAGCTAACTCCCTTAAGAGAATCCCAACAACCCCTTGTGATCACAGACACTGTAATGAACTGTGATGAAAATAGTAGTTGATAAGAAAGAGATGTCATTACACACCATTTGGGATACCTCAAAATCTGATGGATCCCACTATTATGGCAGTTACATCCTATTAAAATTATATGGCCATTTTTCCCCACCATATTATGTCAAGGGAAGAAATGAGGTCTTATCACCCACTGCTACTGCTGAGATGTTACCTAGAAAACTAACAACTTAGGAGATACTCATGAGATAATGTAAAAACCTTTCTAAAACTGAATGGGTACTTTTATTATTGCCATCTCCCTCCCTGTGAAACAAAGCTGCCCTTCCTTTATTACCTCCTGAAAGACAGTTTAAGATAAAAACTGATATCTCCAGTTCTTTACCAAGCATTTTTCATTTCACCCATGCCCTTGCTTACTTGGTGGGTATCCACTGCCAAGGCGGCCCCAAGATCAAGGCTCTGGGGTCTGGGGCAAGGCCTTGTGGTCAACTCCTCCTCTTGGCATTGGTTCTTCCCAGGAGAACAAACCAGGTTTGTGTTCATTCTGTCAATCTCCCTGGTCAAGTGTGCAAGGAGCTCTGGAGTAAGTTTATTATTCCCTTCCTTGCTGCTTAGTATCAAGTGTTCTTTGAGGAGGTTGATGATGTTGTGGGCATTCTTCAGTTTTCCCTGGAGCTTTCTGAACTCAGCCTGAAGGGTACTCTCATTCAGATCCCCTTTGGCGACCACAGTCTCCACCATCACCTCGCCTTTCTCCTTGTCTTCCTCCATCTCCCATCCATCAGACATTGCTTCTCCCATCTGCTCTTTCAGCTCTGCATTCTCAAGGCAAAGGCTCAACATGGTATTCCTACAGAAAATATACATTCAGAGAACAAGATCTGGTCTTGGCCACAGCTCTTTATAGCCCCTTTCACCCACATCTCAGTCCATGATAGACTCAGGGACATGCCAGGGCATGAAGCAACCTCAAAAACCTACAACAACATCTTTATTTTACACATTGGAATACCCAGAGTTAGGAAGGGTGAGAGACAGCCCCACACCAAATACTTCTAACAGCTGTCTGATGGCAGCGCCATCACTAAAATCTCGGTATCAAGATCTACAGTCTATTTTTCTTTACTTGGCCAAATAGCCTGTTTTCTAATTCTCAGTGACCTCTGGAAAACACAGAGGTACTTACACTATTCAGTAAAACATTAGAAGGAAATGGCCTATGACAAATTTGTTATTATGGATTCTACAGTTCTATTATTTATCATCCATTTTAAACCACTGAATGATAAATTGGGATCCAGGAGCTGGGCACAGTGGCTCACACCTGTAATCCCAGTGACTTGGGGGGCTGAGGCAGGAGGATTGGAAGTTCAAAGCCAGCCTTAATAAAAAATAAAAAAGGGCTGGGGAGGTGTCTCAGTAAGCACCCCTGAATTCAATCTCCAGTAACAACAACAACAACAACAACAACAAAAAACCCACCATAATTGGCATCTAGGAACACATAAGAAAGAAACAATACTAATTAGATAAAACATAAACATATAATTATTTGCTATATGTCTGGCTCATGTAATAGGAGATAACTTTCATGAGAGCAGAAACCATATCTGTACTGTTTGCCCTGTATCCCAGGGTCTCCACAGGTACCTGCCATGTAAAACATTCATTCACACTGTCGACAAAATAAAATTGACTAAACTAATTTTCACCAAGATATTCTAGCTTTTCCCTTATCCCTAATAAACCATTTTCTGGGGTTGAATGGAAGCTATAAAGAACATGGCTTTCACAAAATAATTCACTTAACCTCTTGGAGTCTCAGTTTCCTTTTAGATAAAATAAAAATTATGACACTTTTTATGAAAAATAAGAATTATAACATTAGTAGATACTAATGAAATTACAGGATGTGGTTAGCTCAGAATCCACAACAGAGGAGTCATTCGATGCTGTTGCAACTAGCTGCAGACCTGAGGAATATTAACATCAAAATCCCACCAGGTCCTTGTTTAAAAGGCTCTTAAGCTAAGGCCTATGAATTTGAATTTTACTTAAGTTCCACAGGTGATTCTTAAGCACTGAGAGTGCTGAGCTTGAAGAGGAAAAAAATAAGGTAATTCATGGCCTGAAGGATCAGTAGTTGGCTATGTCCCTCAACTAGATTTCTCAGAATCCTGAAGTCTTGGGCCTTCAAGCAGAATTACTCTGGTGTCATTTAGGGAAGAAAATACTTTAGGACATAGAATTCAGAGCATCCATGAGACAGTTTTTCAATGGATAAAAAGGGACAGGATGTTACCAAAATTGGGATGAAGGAGGGAGAGAGGGGGACACACATATAATATAGAAAATAATATTTAATATTATAACTACATTTTGGGGTAAACACTAATGTTTTCACAGTATGAAGTAATGAAAGCATGCTCAACAAAAATCTTGAAAGGAGTGGCTAGGTATTAGATTCTATCTTTCTCTCCACCAGACCTCAGTGTTTCTTGAGGTCTGGTGGAGAGAAAAAATCAGTTTCAGAACAGTAACTCTGAGGAAAAAGGAAAATAATCCACAAGGATACCTAGGCATGATGTGTAGAATCAAAAAGAATTGTTCTGTTTGTAACATCTCAACTAAATTCACACATGCAAAAGTTAAGCAAAACTTGTGCTTTAACTTAAGTAGAACTTAACTGAAGAATTATTATAATTCAGTGTGAAAGAACTAACATTTAGAATGATCACCGAAGTTTTAAAAAATTATTTGAAAAAAATACATAACAGAAGAAAGGAGCAGATTTAAAAATCAGGAGCCAGGGGTCTGGCTATGGACCATTATGCAATCTTGAGTAAGTCACTTAGAACTTCCTAGGCCTGAGTTTCCTTAACTATAAACATGGACAATGGGCTGGATATCAAGGTCTCTTCAAATGTTAATGTTATTCAAGGAAGTTTAAGTGATGTGTAATATATAGGGAAACCACAGGACATGACTTAAAATTTGTACATCTTATAGCTGTACTCTTAACAAGAGTCCTCAGGGGTGAATGATTAAGTGGATTATCCCTATATCAAAATATTCTCTGGGCATCTTTTGACAAAAAGCTGCTAAAGACAGAGTAGCCAATCTAGTCAATGAATCAGATATTTATCATTTTTCATCAAGTTAATAAAGCAGCAGAGATTATTAAAATTGCTATTCCATGATTCGATTACTCGTTGCTTCTGCCAGGGAACTGAGTTGGAGATGCAGGGGCTTCTATATAAATACCCCTATCTTGTGAACTGCTGTGGTTCTGCATACAGCAGTTAAACTTTGGGGGCAGAAGATCCCTTATACATTCCAATCAATAACAAAAGTGATCACCATTATCCATTGACTTTTCTGTAAAGAACTCATAGAAACATCAATGCATAGATCCTGGAATGTGGATCCCGTAGTCATGTAGCAACACAAACATCTTGGTTGCAGCAAGGCAAGGCCCTGGCTGTGGTGGTAGGGACTTGTGGTCTGTAGGCTCCCCTTCCCTGGAGAAAATGTACTACCTGATGTGGGACACAGAGGAGAATCCCGCTTCCTCAATTTGAGCCTTTAGCTCCTTGAGTTCCCCTTCAGCTTTTCTCTTCTCCTCTAAGTGCTGGTGGATCTCAGCCCTCAGGTGGAGCATTTCCTCCTGAAGACACCTGTTACTGTCCCCTCCTACTGGGGATGGAGGGGAAAGAGATGTGTTCTGGGTCTCCACGGTTGCCGAGCTTTTCTCCAAAGCCACCTTGGTAAGCTGAAACAAAATAATGGTTTAAAGAGATTAGGTCACATACATAAAATGATGTTAGGTCATTAAAGAGGACCCAAGAGAAACATGAGATCACAAGGACATCCTTCAATGGAAGCAACAACAAGAAGACAAAGCTAAAATGAACTCCCTTATGAGGATTTTCTCAGTCATAAGGGTCTTGGAGAGTGGTTTGGGCAAGGAGGACACATCTAGTGAGCAGAGTTGTTACAAAGGGGAAGAGGAGAATACACAGAAGGGTGAGGAAAACACAAAAAGCGCTCTCTCTTTCACTCACACACACACACACACACACACACACACACACACACACACGTAAACAAACAAGTTTTAAATAAGTCTGGTGTCTGTGGATGGGGTGATTCCTATTTCTGAGAGGTCAGAGTTCCCCAGAGTCTTCTCACAAGTCATGAAGCTTCACAACACTGGAATCCTTGAATCAGAAGATGATGGCTCAAAATTGCAGGGCTCAATGCCAAAGGCCCTACCTGGAACTTAGATTCCAAAGAGAAGATGAGCAGGAGGGCTCAGGGTACTCAGGAAACAGCAGCAGTCCTCACAAAATTAGAATAATGGTGGAGCTACAGAGTAAGCTTTATTTCATTGACAGCAGGGGAATCACATCCTAAACTACTGAGAAGCTGCGGTGAAGCCCTGTTCAAAAGCCTCTATTCCTTTTTGGTTATTTCACTTGTGCCAATATTGTCAGCCAAATTCTCTTTACGAATTTAAGCATGTAAAAAGAAATCAAGGTAGAAATAATTTCCCAATACCTTTCTTTTTCTTAAAAATCCTCTTCAAGTTTCAATTAAAGCAAATCTTACAGTGTTTCCTCAAATGGGAATTAGCGAAGTTTTAGACTTTCTTTCTGTTCATTTGCACTCGTCTCTAGCTGTTTTTCATGCTTTTTAAAGTGTGGAAATCAAAACACAAGTACATACTTAGTGTATGACTATTATTTTAGAACAAGGATTTCTTGCCTGTCTAAATTAATTTCAATATATCTCAATGTCACATTGATTTTTATTTTTATCTCAGTGGAAGCATTTGAGAGTTACTTACCTCCAGGTCAATTCTAATTCTCAGTTTCCCACCTCTCTCCCACAGCTTTGTCTGGGTCATGTTTTTTTTTTTTTTCTCTCTCTCTCTTTCTTTTATATCTATAAATCTGTTATTTGTACTTATCACTTATAAATTCATTCTAGCTATACAGAACCATTTCCTAATTATCAAAACCATCAAAATATTTGCTGTGCATCTCTATAACGTGTAGTGGTTACCCAAGTAGGGATGATTTGTTGAATTAGTTATATGCTTTAAACCTTCATTTAAGTTATCAATATGTTAACAGAATAAGATCCAGGGTACCTTACATGGATCAATGATTGGAGCTGCTTGGGTTGGCAAAAAGCAATTGACTTTTGCTACTTCCCTTAAGAAACCATGATAAAATTTAAGCCACAGGTTTGTGGTGGAGGTAACTCATAACATGCAAGTGGTATTTAGTAAGGAGATGTGCACCTATGTCAAAGAAAGAGATCCACACACAAAGGACACCATCTCTAGGTACCCAATTGTACATGGGTTCTGTGAGCTTGATATCTGGCAGGCTCTTGACAATTTTCTCTCTATAACTCTGCTGATCAGCTTAGTCAGTTTGGGGGTCATCTCCACATATGCCACCAACCATTTGTGACAAAATAAAGGACATGGTACTGGATAAAACCACTTTGCAAAATTTATGGCTCTACCTTTCATTTAACTGTGTTATCTTTCAATATAAACCCTTTCCAATTAACATAACTAAAACATCACCATTAGTCTTGAATATGGGTACAATATTTATTATTTTCTAAAACCCAAGGATTCCTTTTGCTTAAAAATAATGTCCAACTTTATAAATCTACCCATTTTGTGTGTGTATGGTACAGGGGTGCTCTACCACTGAACTACATCCCCAGCTCTTTTTATTTTTTATTTTGAGATAGAGTGTCACAAAGTTGCCAAGGCAGGCCTCAAACTTGCAATCCTCTTGCCTTGGCTTCCCCAGTAAGTGGGATTTCTGGTATGTGTCACCATGCCAAACAAGTTTAATTATTTTCAAGTACCATCTATATGTATGATACCTTACTCTATTGGTTTCAATACACCTATTTTGTTAAAGAAAAAACAATGACTCGAGATCTAATTTTTGCTTATGCTAATTTGGGTTTTCATAGTTCTATCTCAAAGATGGCTTCCATTGACTAAACTTAAAATTTAAATATAAATATAATTTAAATGTCAATGTATGAAAAGTGACTCAGAAACTAGCCTTTTCATTAGTTTTTAATCATTAATGAAAAGCAAATATTTCTGCTCCTTCCTTCAAACAAACCCTGAGACTTCCACTATGTGTGGCAGTAGTATGAATCCATTAAATCTATTTTAGCTATGTCTTTCTTATAGATATATTCTTCAACATTATCTAATTCACTTGTGCTATTGTTTCCATACAATTCAACTTTTTGGGTGCTGAGTTCCTATTTGCCCTGCAGAGGTTTAGTGCAGGATCTTCTCTTTTGCTTGAATAGAGTTGTTCTGTTTTTCCCTACTGCTTCATACCTCTCACAATGTAAGTCAGTTCCCAGGCAGCAATAAGTGCATTAAAAACTAGCTTTCCCCAGATGCACAGCATCACTAATCCTTAGGGAAATGCAAAATAAAACTGCAATGAGATATCTCCTCACACCTGTTAGATTGGTTTTTATACAAACTTAGGAAAGAAAAAAAGATATCAAGCATTAAGATGCCAAGAAAGGGGAACCTGTACAATGAACTTTAGAATAGCTACTGTGAAAAATGGTATGGTGACTCCTCCAAAAACTAAAAATAGAACTACTCATAAGATCCAGTAATTCCATTTCTGGATATATATTTACAAAGGAACTGAAATCATATTGTCAAAGGATTTCAGCATTCCATGTCTACTGCATCATTTTACAATAGCCATGATAAGAGGTCAACTTCTCAACAGAGAAGTAAGTAAATAAAGAAAATATGATGCTCAGCCTCATATTAGTCAGCCTTTAAAAAGGGGAGAAATCCTGTCACTTGGAAGATTCTGAAGTCCTTCAGGCTAAGAGAAATAAGCATGGCAGACAAAGACATATATATCCTGATCTCACTTATGGGACTGAAATGTGGAATCTATAATAAAGTTGAACAGAAGTAAGGAATAGAGTGAGGGGGGATACATCAGGAAATTGTTTATTAAAGGGTACAAAGTTTTGGATAGACTTAAGGAATAGGTTTTGAGATTTATTACACAGCAAGATGACTATAGTCACTAATAATGTATAATTCCAAAGAACTAAGAATAAATTTCAAATGTCTCACCATAAGAAACCAGGGTGAGGTGCGGTGATGGATATATTTATTAGCTTGATGTAATTATTTCACATTTTATTTATATAGTAAAACATCACTTTGTACCCCATAAATGTACATAATCATGACTGGACAATAAAAATAACATTAGTTTTTTAAATAGCTGTTCCTAAAACATCACACTTAGTCTACTGACTTCTCTCCTTTGCATTTGAATCTCAATTCTTGATTAACTTTTCTCCATTGCAAAGTTAAAATGAAGAAAGCAATGATTGATTACTCTAGTTTCTTTAATGGAAATTTCCTAGGTGTTTACTGTAGATCTTAATCTATTTTGAGATTGGGATTTTGTGGGAGATATCTAGGAGAAATTATCATCATAGCCAGACCTGAAGCTTGCTTAAGTAGGTGAGTCAAAAAAATAAGGAGGAAAAAAACTTTCTTTGGCTAAAAGGTGATTCTTGCCCAGGAACCCAAAGTTGGATATGTGTACCAGGGGAAGTACATGGATGCTTGAGTGAAGGGATTTTGGTGTCAAGAATAAGTCTTAGTTTCCAACAAGGAGAACACAACCTAATAAATAAGGAACCATTTTCCTAGAAAAAAGCAAATGATTTTTTTTTTTTGAGAATCCGGACACAAAACACAGTTATGGCAAAGCAAGCTTTATTTAATTGAAAGAAAGAGAATCACAAGTGTAAACTCCAGAAAAATGAAGTAAACTTACAATGACTTCACATACGAAGGGTCCTCCTCCCCAAAGCTGAAGATTGGTTTTTTAAGAAAAGGTGATAAAAAGCAAAATGGTGCTTACCCAAGAGACTCTTCATCCAACAGGTATACACTTTATCTATCAAGAGTCAAGCCCTAATCCAGAAGTCTGTCAATTTAAAATTATATTAGGCATCTCCTATGCCAAGTAATATTGCAAGCACTGCAATATGCCCCAATGTAGAAGTCCATTTCCCAGCTGGACTGACCTCATCAAAATAGGGTTTGGTTATATTCTCCATGTTAGGCTACAAAAAAAAAAAAGCTATGGAAGAAATGACTTTCAGTTTTCCTACAGGACTTGTACTACCAAAAATAATTTATACCATGCAAATCAGAATCTGAATCTCCTTACAGCTGTGCTTCCTGCTTATTTATTCTAAGTTAATCCCATCCCAGTCACTAACCATCAGTGTCCAGCTGCCATCCCAAACTAGTTGTCTTAAAGTGAATATCTGTTCATTCTGTAGGTTCCTTTCTCTTACCGAAGATCCTCAGTGAAATCAGGGAGTGAAGGGCAGAAGCATCTGTACTGAGGGGCAGTGGTTTGCACAATTAAATTCACAACCTTTGGTGAGAAGGACTCAGAAAAAGATATTCAAGCAAAAGTAGTGGAGCTGATGCAAAAACTCAAGGGAGAAGTGAAGGTTAGCTATGGTTAAAGCAACAAAAAGGGACTCTTGGTAGAAGGGAAATTCTTGAGGACGTATTGTGCCATATCCTGTAAGATTTGGGGACTGTTCACTTGGGCTCCTTTCACTGGTTTATTAAATTTTTCCTCTTTTTCTTATGCAGGTGGTATATAAATAGACCCAGGCATCCTCATTTCCCCTACAGGTTTCCTCATAGTCCTAAGGAAGCCATCACTGGGGGAGCCCGGCTGCTTTTGCAGAAGGATTTCTATCAGGGATCTACTTTCTCTGCAATAACTTAGTTTCAGGCATCGTCCATCTAGAAGATGCAACTGTTACATGTCACTGGGCAAGGCGGAGACACTTAGGAGTTCCAACAAATGTTGTGGGCTCACTATCAGTGATAATCTCTGAGGTCCAGGACGTTCACTCTTGGACTTGAGAACGTGGCTTTCTCTGATAGTGGGTGGGGACTGTGTTTCAGCCTTGGATACCAAGTTGAGGCTTGATAGGGGCTTGCTGTTGAAGGGCCATCTGCTGGTCATTGACTTAGTCACAACCTGGGTAGTCTGTCAGGTTGCACTGACAAGTTCTCTTCTATATGAGACTCCACTGAGAAAGATCCCTGCTGTGGAGACATTCTGATCCTYTTGGAGTTTCTCAGCATTCTCCCCATGCAGGTCCTAAGCCCTGCCACCTCCCCAAGCAGCCCTTCGATGTCTCCCTGTCTTCTGTGGTGTGTTTCAATTACAAAAGCCCAAGAGGGGAAGTATCCATTGTCTTGTAAGTAAAAATTCTTCTGAAGCTATAGCTACAGACAGTAAATAAAGGCAAAGGTGGATAGGAAGAGGCAGGAAGCAGAAGACAAACACAGAAGTAGTAAAAACAAAAGGGTCTATTAGAGAAACTGACAATGTGGGTTGGAGAGGCAACTGGGATGCTCAGGGAGGACAAGCAGCAGACTGGGAAGTGGTTTATATAGAATGATGTCTTCTCACTTTAGGAGCACAAAGGCCGTGGGAGACCATCAGACCCCAGAAGGGCTGTGTACCTTCCACCCAGGGAACCCCAGGACCTGACACTGACTTACTTGCTGGTGGCTGTTGTGTGCAGCCTCCTCCTCAATACTGTCAGTGAATTCAGTGCTGGCATCTTCAGTGTCATCCCCTGCCACTGCACCTGGAAGTAAGTTCAGAAGAGAAAGGTGAGTCCCTTCACAGATGGCTTCCAGACAGCAGGTAAAATTACACTCTTTGCCATCCACCTCTGATTTCTTTCTTTCCCCAAGTGCCTGGAATCCTAGCCATTAGGGAAAGCAGAACCAATCCTTCTCAGTGTATTTGCAGTAATTTTTTACTAACACTCAAGCTTGTACAGATCTATAACCAAAAAGCTTGACTGTCAAGAATGATCACCCTCTTATCTATTTTTTAAAATTCTAAATGATTCTCCATCCTGGCTATGTAGCAACTGTTTCTTCTGTAACATGGGCCAAACATAACTAATCTTTTTCCCCCCAACAAATGCTAAGAGTTTCCCTCATTTCCTAGGGATTAAGGCAACCCAGTTCCTTTCCCACTTTTCCATTGTTGTGATCAGCTATGCAGAGACTGATGAAATCTCTGAGGTTCTCCCATCTGGGGGTCCTGTGTCCTGGGGAAGACTCAGGTCTAGTCCAGATTTCAGACACAGAATGATACTATTTCCTAATTCCCTCCTCTTTCCCTCTTCCCCATGTCTCTCAAACTCTGTTCAACGACAACATCCTTTGAATGGAGGGTTTTTTATACTTTGTTCAAATAAGGATTAATCCATTCGTTCATTCCCCAGTGTACACAGTCACCACCACGTACACAGTCACCCCACAGCACAAACATCCACACCCTGCTCTAAAGGACAAATCACTGCCATCACTGGTCTAGGCAGCTAGTGGTCTAGGGCAGTGCTGACCACAGAACCTTCTTTGATGATGGCACTGTTCTTTGTCTACAGTACCCAATAAGTAGACACTTGTCACATGTAGCTATTAAGCACTTGAAATGTGGCTAGTGTGACTTAGAAACTGGATTAATTATTTTACTTAAATTAATTTTTATTGGTATAGCCACATATAGCTAGTGACAATAATGAACAGATCTAGAGAATTTCTTTTTTACTTTTGTTAGAATAAAAGACTGTCCATACTACTTTAGATCAATAACTGTGCCCACATTATAGTTTTATTTTATCAAAATACCAAAGAATATCTCCTGTGCCACCCTGTATCTTACAGAACCTACCCAGGTTAGAGAATCTCAAGATCTAGTTCTGACCCTGGACTCAGCAACCAATCTGTTAAAGTCCTCTTCATTCCACTCAATAACCCTGGCCTTAAAGAGATTAAGTGGCTTATCCAAGGTTACCCAACTAATCCTGACAAGACCTATGTCAAGAAGTGTCTGTACTCTTAGGATCCATTCATTGTTTCTTCAGGTGATAAATCAGAACTTTATTTTTGCTTCTTCTTCCCAATCCAAGGAGCTTCCTCCTGAGCTCAGATTTCCATAAATGAAAGGTTCTACATGAATAATGAGCATTCACTGTCCCAAGTGGTTAGCCCTCTCACCTATTCTTTCTTAAGCCTGAATTCTTACTCCCCATCCTGCAGATGAGTTGAACAGGGGCAATTTGTATTTAGATTCCATTTCTTGGCATCTGCAAGTTCATGCCAGAGATTTGCAATGGCTCGTGCTGACCTCATCAAGGTATAAAGGTAATTAGGCATGCTGTTCTAACAGTTTAATTTCCCTGATCTTTTGGTGAACATTATTTATCGTGGACCAAGGTAGGATCCTATTCAGCAAATCCCTCCACAAAGAGAAACCTCTAACAATGAGCATCTTAATCTGTGGCAGACAGTGTACAGTGGGGATTTCCAATAATTATTATTTCCAGAACTCTCTCACTCAAGGCACTGGCTGAATAGAGGTGAATATGTTCACCTCTACTCAGAGGTGAATGCTCTGACTGCTTCAAAACACTAAATGATAATTCACTGAAGGACATATATATTATGCTTACTTTGGAGAATCTTTCCCTGTACAATGACAGAGATCATAATCTTATTTTTCCTGTGTGTGTGTGTGCACAAGCACACAAATTAATTGTCCTACTCAGTGAAAGATTAAGAAAGCATATTTTTCCATTGTTTTCCTTTAGAACACTGAGCCAGAGAATGATCCTGTAGTTCAAGGAAGCTCAGCTCTGTTAGATCCAGATCTTTGTCCCGTACCATTCTTGGTAGCTTGCACAGCCTATGCTAAGTCCACATCCCAGGATGATTCCTTTATTAGGTTCCTCAAGTGGAATTAGGAAAGATGACTGTCACGAGTTTTGAAGCTTTTTATCTGACACTTTTTTGCCCTCCACTTACCTTTCTGATGCCACATTTACATTTCTAGATAATGTTCCTTTTTAATTCACTGGGGGGAGGACAGGATGTGTTGGTTCTGACTTCATCAGAAATTAGAGAAAAAGGAAGAATGCCCATCTTACCTCAACACTCTACCACACAGGGATTTTATTTTTCTTTCCTCCTTACCCCCCAGAGTTCATTCAATCTGCTGTAGTTACTTTACCGCAGTTTTAAAGTTGCTTACCTTTTACCACCTTGAATTAGAAAGCTGAAAACAATTTTTGTTTGTTGGTTGGTTTGAGGACTAGAATAAAGCTGAAAATATTTTATAGAAAATGTTGGAATAAAATGAAGATATCTTATTTATCATATCTAAGTGTACATTAGTCATCCATCTTTCTGTTATAACTTACATTTTTTTAAATGAATGAAAATAAAGAACCTCTTTTGTGGGGAATCCCCTTTTCTAAGCTTTTTAAATGGCAACAGAAGTCTATCTTTAGAACTATCTTGGACTTCTTTAAATTTCTAATTTAAATGAAAGGTTCTAAAACTTTTTATACTGATGAGTCTTCTGCTTTTATGGATAAAAATATAAAATAAACTGGTCTGTCACTTTGAGAGTCTCCAAAATCTAAGAATCTATTCATTCATAAGTTGACTCAATTCTCCAAGTTTTACATGTTTCATGTTAATATGAAAACATGCCTGCAATCTTAAATACTTTGAGGTTTTGATAGAATTGTGGTTCTTATAATATTCTAGGCTCTGAACTACACAAAATAGAGGTGATAACAAAATGTCTATTATCTAGATCTTGAAAATTATCTTCTACCATCTACTCAGTTCTACAAAATAAACAAAATAACCCTCTAAAAGGGCTGGGGTTGTGGCTCAGTGGTACAGCGCTCACCTACCACGTGCAAGGCACTGGGTTCAATCCCCAGCACCACATAAAAATAAAAAATAAATAAAAATAAAGGTATTGTGTCCAATTACAACTAAGAGAAATATATATTTAAAAAAAATTGGGGCTGGGGTTATGGCTCAGTGGTACAGCGCTTGCCTTGCCAGCACATACAAGGCCCTGGGTTCGATCCTCAGCACCACATATAAATCAATACAATAAAGGTATTGTGTCCAACTAGAACTAAAAAATATTTTTTTAAATAACCCTCTAAAATGTAACATGATAAAATCCTTTGGCAACAGTTTAAACATTCTGCAACCATAAGGTCTTCTTTGACCAAGGAAAAAATTCTTACTTTTATAAATCTTTTAAAATTGAAGATAAATTGCATATCGAGAATGTGGACTTTGGAGCCAGTCAAGGTTTGAATTATTCTTTTGTCACTAGTCTTGACTTTAAGCAAGTCATAACCTGTCTGTAACTCAGTATCCTCATTTGTTAATTAGGGTTAATAATATCATCCATTCCATGCAGCTGTTGTGAACTTCAAAGGGTTTGCTAATTTTAAAGTGCTTAGAACAGTGCTTAGTACAGTATGTCCTCAATAAAGCTTACCCTCAGACAGTATTGCTGTTTGTTATTGTTGTTGCTGCTGATAAACTTTTATTTATGGTTTTGATGGAGTTATGGTTCTTACAAGATTCTAGGCTCTGAACCACACAAAACAGAGGTGACACTAAAATGTCCATTATTTAGATGTAGAAAATAATTTTCTATCAACTGAAGTGGTCCTTGGACTAGGGCTGACTAAACTGAAGGCCACAGAATCTAAATGTAAGCAGAAGGAAATTCTAGACCTGATGTTATTAACTGGATGACCTTGATTGATTCTACCTGTACTTCTTCACTTATGAAGATCGGTTTTTCTCAGCAAGATGCTTGAAATAATACTTTGTGCTCTTTCTGCTTTCCAGGACAGTTGAAAAAGAATAGAGCCATTAGCGAAATAGGATGAACTCTTTGGAAAGGTGCCATACAAACAGGATTCACCAGCAGTAAATTATAACTGTCTTGAAACTCCACCATGCAAAATAAGCTTTACAGGAAAATTCACAAAGTTTAATTTTAATTCTTAGTAAGGAGTCCAAATTGGGTGGGGTCAAGATCATTCCCCCTACTCTATAATCATTATTTCCCCTATAAGCCATTTATATGGGATCAACAGCAAAGAGATAAGACATTTTAGTACAACAATCAATAGATTGATTCCCCATGTGGAAAAGAAAAAAGATATGTTGTCTACTTTGCTCATAAATCTTTAAGAACTAAACCAAGAACATAGCAGTGTTCATATTTTACTAATCCTGAAAGAAGATTTTAAAAGCTAGTACTTGACAGCATGAGTTAAGTTTGCAGTGCACAGTGTTCTTTCCCTCAGTGCCAGGTCCTCTCCATCCATCTCTTTCATTCCTGGACACTCTGCTGTGTGCTCATTAGCAGAACTCTCATACTTTATGTCATGAACCAACCATCACTGGCTTAATATTATGATGCTAGCAAGAACCAAAGGAGAACATTCTTCTATCAATTTTATCCGCATCCATTCCCTTCAGAGCCATAAGAAAAAGTCAATATTCTATATAGCTCTCCATAGCCTCTACTGAGAAATAAAATTCTTTATCTAAACAGATGCTTGTTTTGGAACAACAGAAAGCTGCTGTCTGCAAGTCAAGCCCCTTTGTGGAATACCTTTGTCTTAAATTGCAACACATCTCATGCAACCTGGAGGCCCCTGACCCATACAGTATTCAGAAAGCACTGTTTTTAAGTGGCTTTACAAAACTAAATTAAAATCCAAATCACTTTTCAGGATAT